AAGGGGGGGGGGAGCCATATTGGAGCCTTCCAACCGTCCAGGTCCAGTAGTGGGTTGTTATTGATGAATTATTTGTAAGACAATCTCCAATAGGGGACAATTCAAATTCACTTTATCCTCTTCCACATAACCTGCCACATCATCAAATGTCTCCACTATCACATACACTCCACAATAAAGGATAATTTAGGAAATAATTCACTTTTCTATCTCTCCTCATCACTCCCCATCATATATTTTATTATATTATATTTTTTTCATATGTGATATATGTATTATAATTAATATAATAATAATAATAATAATATAATTTTTTATTTTTTAATTTATAATTATTTAATTTTGATATTTATCAAATATTATTACAATATTAAAAACAAGACAAGATTTTATTGATGTAGATAAATCAGCAGTACAATTTATTAAAAACACACAAAACAAACTAAAATTTGACAAAATTAAAATCGAAAGTTGAAAATTAAATTGCGGTTGCTCCAAACTTTTGCCAAATGTGCTCGACAAGATCCTCCTTCAATTGAAGATGTTTGGCCCTATCTCGGAGTTCAGATCTAGTATGAATATCTGATTCGGACCTACCTTGAACATGCACTTCAAACTGAGGTAACGTTTGTGTTTGGTAATCAAATGATGAGCTCGAGCTAGCAATGCTTGATGGTTCAAAGTCAACGTTCTCCCAGTTTCGACTATAAGTATCTCGTTCATCCTCCACTATCATATTGTGTAAAATAATACACGCTCTCATAATTTTTGATAAGACATTCAAATCCCACATTCTAGCTGGTTGACGAATTATAGCAAAACGTGCTTGGAGAACCCCAAATGCACGTTCCACATCCTTCCTACAAGATTCTTGTTGTTTTACAAACAATTTCGCTTTTTCGCCTTGGGGATATTGAAGTGATTGGACAAAGACAGGCCATTTGGGATATATTCCGTCAGCAAGATAGTATGCCAAATTGTATTGATGACCATTCACAGTGAAGTTCACATGCGGAGCTTCACCTGCCTCAATGTCATCAAAGACATGTGACCTTTCAAGCACATTTATATCATTCAATGTACCTGGCAATCCAAAAAAGGCATGCCATATCCACAAGTCATAAGAAGCAACTGCTTCGAGTATTACTGTTGTTGTGCCTTTATGTCCACTGGTAAATTGACTTTGCCAAGCCTTAGGACAATTTTTCCATTGCCAATGCATGCAATCAATACTTCCAATCATCCCCGGAAAACCGCGTTCTTCGCCTACTTTTAGTAGTCGTTGGAGGTCTTCCTCATTCGGCCTTCTCAAATAGTCATTCTCAAATATGACCACAATACCTTCACAAAACTTGCCGACACACTCTACTTCAGTGGTTTCTCCAATCTTTACGTATTCGTCACAAGCATCAGCTGCAACACCATATGCTAACATGCGTATAGCAGCAATACACTTTTGAATTGGCGATAAACCACGCTTTCCAGCACTATTTCTCCTCTGAGTGAAATACGTGTCATAATTTGAGAGAGAATCTACAATTCGTAGAAATAGTGGTCGTTGCATTCGGTATCTCCGACGAAATTGGTGGTCGGTGTATGTGGGAGATTCGACAAAGTAGTCTTTCATCAGCCTTTGATGGGCAGCTTCATGGTTTCTCTTTATGTATGTCCTCTTATGGGATCGATTACTTGCAGCTTGTAACTCTTCAAGTAACTGTTGTTGGTGTTTGAGTAAAGATTCATCCAAATCCCATTGTTTTTGGAGTTCCTCTAAGTTAAACTCGTATGGGGGTGGATTCATCTAAGTAATAATTGTGTAGATGAAATTGGTAATGAAGTGATGTGTAATAAGTTCAATATCCAAGTGGTATTTATATTACCCAATCTTAGATTTTCAGATATCACATGTGAAGAGATAAGGTTTGGACTGTAGTGTGCAGAGATCACATGTGAAGCAACATTGATTTTGAGATGTTAAAGAGATAAGGTTTGGACTGTAGTGTGCAGAGATCACATGTGAAGCAACATTTATTTTGAGATGTTCAAGAGATAAGGTTTGGATTGTAGTGTGCAGAGATCACATGTGAAGCAACATTGATTTTGAGATGTTCAAGAGATAAGGTTTGGACTGTAGTGTGCAGAGATCACATGTGAAGTAAAAATTCTTTTGATATGTTCAAGTCTTCAAGAGATAAGGTTTGGACTGTAGTGTGCAGAGATCACATGTGAAGCAACATTTATTTTAAGATGTTCAAGAGATAAGGTTTGGATTGTAGTGTGCAGAGATCACATGTGAAGCAACATTGATTTTGAGATGTTCAAGAGATAAGGTTTGGACTGTAGTGTGCAGAGATCACATGTGAAGTAACATTGCTTTTGATATGTTCAAGAGATAAGGTTTGGACTGTAGTGTGCAGAGATTACATGTGAAGCAATATTTATTTTGAGATGTTCAAGAGATAAGGTTTGGATTGTAGTGTGCAGAGATCACATGTGAAGCAACATTGCTTTTGATATGTTCAAGAGATAAGGTTTGTTTGTAGTGTGCAGAGATCATATGTTTGGACTTTTACGTACAACATAATTGAGCTTTGCTTTTCAAATTTCAAATGACTTACATACAAAGGAATTGTTTGCAGGAACCAAGATGCATTTTATTGAACAATACACTCAGACATCACATTCTAACAATACACTCAGACATCATACTCAGACAATACACTCTTAACATCATACTAAACAACACACATTACATTTATTCTTGGAATTGTAAAAGATGAACTCTCAAACAGATAAACTTAAAGGCCAAACAATTCGATCTGTAGCATGTTAAGCAGTTTATACTCATACTCGTCCAATGCAGTTCTTTGATTTATCTGATTAAGGTCCATCCACATTTTCATTTTTTCAGCACGTGCTGCCTCCTTTTGAGCACATGCTGCCTCCTTTTGAGCTGTTGCAACTTCTTGCATCATCTTCATCTGTTGTTCCTTCATTTCTTTTAGCTCCTGGCGTTCAGACTCTATCTTAGAGTATTCCTCCTCAATAACAAGTTTCGATCTTCTAGAGGAGCCCTTAGCTTTTTTCTTTGTCGTGTCTCTACCTTCTGGGCGTACAAAAGAAGGAACTGATGAGCATGAGATATCACCTTCCCCGCTACTCTTCCTTTTACTTCCACTACTTTGAGATGCACCAGATCCAACCATATATTTTGGTTCATTACGAACCAATTTCCATTCTTCAAGCAAAACAAAGTTTTTTTTAGTTTCTTCAACAAACAAATCTTGAGCTCTTGCTATGTAGTTGTCGTCTGACCAACCGCTACGCCTCTCTGCTAATGCTTTTCTGTATACACCAACCCACTTATCAATTTTTTTTGTTGAGATCACTGTAATGGCTTTTACATTGTTGTTGACTCCTATGAGGGCCAGTTGTTGAATGCTCATTCAAGTAAGCAACAGTTTTACCTCAAAAAGTGTCACCCTTTTGGCCACTACCCAATTCACTATCATTACTGAAGTGAAAATAACTAGTTAAAAGTAGTTTGTTTTGCTCGACACTCCAAACCGAATAACTAGATTTAGAAGTATTTTTCTGTGTTTGGGGCAAAAAACTATGTGGTGTGTCATCACCAGCACTTCCAAGAGATATTTGAGTGGAAAACTCGGGTACATCTGTTGATCCACTGCTAAAATGAGGAGTAACTTGCTCGGTGTTTTGATTATTGATATTGGAGAAACCACCATAATTACTTCCACCAGTTTGTTGCCCATATTGCATATAAGGGAAATTATAAGGATATTGCATACCAAAATTAGATTGCATCATATATGGCATTTGAAAATTGGATGGCATGTTTTGAAGATTTTCAGGACGTTGATTATTGGAATTTTGAGGTTGGTTAGGAAACATATAAGTTAGGGGACGATTAAAATTTTGATTAGGGTCCATTTTGAAAGAGAGCAAAGAAGTTGGAGGAATTTTGAAAGAGAGTAAAGAAGTTGGAGGAAGAAATTTTTTTTGGAGAAAATACTCAAAAATTTTTGGTGTCCAAATGAAGCAAAGTTGGTCTCTATTTATAGATCTCGAAAAAAAAATTAATGGTGAATTTTTTTTTTAATTTGATCAATTTATTGGTAAAAAATACCATTTAAAAAGAGGGTGGAAAAGAAAAATGCATCAACCAACACGAAGCTGCCACATGTCGCGATTGCACCTCACCTCCTTTGTGTTTTCTCCCGCGGATAAATGAGCACTCTAGCAGGAAACAATTGCTTTTACAATGACACATGGCACGATTTGATTGCTTTTCACTACAATAATTCTAGATTTATTGAATAATTCCCTCCAAAAACCACATCACTTCACCTTTACAATTATTCTTTGCTGGAGCAAATAATTCACCCAATTATACACTATTGGAGATGGTCTAAGACAATGCGGACAGCTTTTTCAGAATATAAGAGCTGTAAATGGAAATGTGAACGTTTCCACGGTTTATAATGTCCATCATGATTTGCATTTAGATATTTGGTAATGTTTTTTTTTATTTCGCATGCACCTTAGCATGTCCGTACAAAGCTGACCGTTCTGAGATATGCCACCGTTTTGTGTCAGATTGGATGTTATACGACAAATTTGGGGGTCATATAATTTGGTATGAAATGGCATTTTCAAAAGTTTTTAGTGTTATCTCAAACAGGCTGACCTGTTTTTCTTATTCATTCATTTATTTATTTTTCTGTTGGTTTGTTGGGGGCGGGGGGTTATGTGGAACTTACCCTTTATGTTTTCCAGAAAAATCTTTTATTGTTCAGTATATGATTATGTTTTGCGTTGAACATGTTTTGAATAAATCATAATCATTCTACATCTAAATGAAGAAGAAATTTTCAAAATGGCCTCAACGGAATTTTTTTAAAGAAATTGACCCCATTCACTTTTAATTATAGAAGTCGACCTACTTAGAGTTAATTACGATACTAATTAGTCGGGGTTACCAACCCCCGACTAATTAGTAGCATAATTAGCACCCGTAAACCTTCCCCGCTCCTTGACCCCGTTTGTAATTAAGCTACTAATTAGTCGAGGTTGGCAACCCCAACTAATTAGTACCGCAATTAACTCAAAGTTGATCGATTTCTATAATTAAAAGTGAATAATGTCTATTTCTTTAAAAAATTTTTCTGTTGAGACGATTTTGAAAATTTCTTCTACAAATGAATGGTTGAGTCGGGAAATGATCTTTTATCAATTATCTCCTTATGGATAGATATTGGGGGATCTGTTTCTTTAATATGATAATAAGTATGTCTCTAGACATGGAGGTGGTCTCTTCATCTGCAAACAGGAAAATAGTCTTCTTTTGTTAAATAAGTTTATTGGGGACATGCGAACGCAGAAAATTTTCTTAGTATCATTACATATTAATTAACTATTAATATAATAGTTTATTGTGTACAGAAAATAGTCTTATTTTGCTAAATTGAGACTTTTCTTAGTATCATTAAGTATTAATTAACTATTAATATAATAGTTTATTGTGTACAAAATTTCTAAGTAAAACAAATTTTAATATTCATCACAACTTTCTTTATCCAATAGAATGAACAAAGATTTTTCTATTAGGAAAAGAAAATTTTCCTGAGTTGGCTAAAAAAACTCAATAAAACTTCAAACTCATTATTTTTACCTTTTTATTGAGTAAATTTTGATTAGAGTATCTTCAATCGAAAAAATTTGGTAATTGTTTAGAATAAAAGGCTATCCGTCTTAGTGAGACTGTGCTTGACTGGTTGGTCCCTTATTCTTAAGGGGGGTTTTCTTGTTCTTCCTAGAAACCATCTTTAAAATAGGGTAATTATACGAAAATCACCTTTTATTTTTAAGTTATACCTAAACCGCCTTTTAATTTGATTTTTGTTGGTCAGCCACCTCCCAATTAAATTCTTTAATTAAAACCCAAAATTGCCCTTAAAAACTCGCATTCAATGTACATGACTCAAATTTTTTAGTGTTTAAAGTCTTTGGGATACGACTCACGTACCTTAAACTTAATTTAAAGCTTATTTTGGGTTTTTTTGAAGTGAAAATTTAACTAGAAGATTGTTGATTGCAATAAAAACCGGCTTTAAATGTGGTTTATGTATAAATTAAAAATAAAAAGTGGTTTTCATATAATTACCCCATTGATATTTTATCCTCTTGAGCAATTTTTGAAAAGGTAGCTGTTTAAGTTTTCTATTTGTAGTTGTGAGTTGCACATACTATCTCCCTGTTCTGTTTTATATTATTTTCCACCTTTTATTTCGTGTTATTTGATTGTTTTATTTTTTTGCAAAGGGATAAATTAGATCAATAGGAAAATTACTTTTGATCAAAAGGGAACAACGAGACCCTGCGTATTGCAGCAAAGGATCGCCATAAATATGTTGGGCAACTAACTAAAGACTTCAGCCTCAACGAAGCAATAGACTTTATTTGAACAGATTCCAGCATGTTGAACCTGAGACCTCGCATAATTCAACTCTGGCTGTAATTTGCTTTTGACATTCAAACAACCATTACATGGGATCTCTCACATATACAACGTTCTTATAGTATGTAGAGATCTTGAGCTTATTTATAATAAGTTTTGCAAGATTAAAGTACAAAGGAACACACAGCACGTAAACTGCCTAAGAGGAGGAATTCTTAGGATTGTCGCAACAGCTGGGCAGCAGTTCTTCCCATTATCCACTCCAAGTCGGAGGGCGATAAGGATATCTCGTCGGCGATTAGAGAGACAGCTTCCTTCGCCTTTGTATAGCCACACTCCGCAACGATAAAAGGGAAGTCACTGCAGAAGAATAACGTCGATGGAGGTGAATTTTTCTGATTATTATTTCATATTTGTGTGTTTTTTTAATGTTAAGAGTAGGGATCTTTGCGAAGGCTCTCCTGGTATTATGAAGGTGTAGCTACTTATCATATCAATATTCTATTGTGCTAATTTCACATAGACCCCCCTGTAGCATCGCTGGTTTGAATTTTACTAACCCTGGAGTTTCATTGTGCAGATAGGCTTCCCGGATTAATTGTTTGGACCCTTTTACTTCAGACTCATTAATCTCACCCAGGCAATATCTGATTTCACTAAGGGTAAAAAAGTCAAAAAATAATAATAATAATCCAGCTGGCCTATCTGGAACAATGGAACTACAGCGGTAGTAAATTCAAAACATCTACACTACAGAGGGTCTGTGCAATTAACCCTATTTTATTTGAATAGCACACATTTCTGTCTTCGTGACAATGTTTTTTTAAAAGGTTTTTAAGCTCACACAGGAACCACGGGGGGGCATCTGCAAATAACATAGCCAACTTCGATCTACAATTCTTTTTGTTAACGGTAAATCTCTCTCTATATGATTATTGTTTACTTTCATCCGTTGCATTATAGAGAGGTTCATGTATCATTTTAGCCTCTTTTAGCTCTTGCATTTCCTTCATTTTTTTCCCTCGTCAATTTTCACTATTACCATCAATCTCTCGCGACTTCAGTACTTTTCCTATGCTCATATTAGGAAGTAGACGAAAAGACTTACCTGCCCCACATTACTCGGTTAGCCCCGAAGCTGGAAATCACTTGGGAAAGAAGTTCACCTGTATCCTCATAAGGATATGGCTTCCTTGACAAACGAAAAAGAGCACTAAATTTCACATAAACCTGCCCAATCAAAATAGAAACGTTCAGACCGACTGAAAATATATAGTGCACAATTTCGCCCATTTTCTGTTTTCTACCCTGTAGGCTGAGGGTACATATATTTTGAACTCTTCACGTTCAGATAATTGTTTAATGTCTGTTTTAGTGAAAATAAACAAGGATCTTCATGCGATCATATATAGATTAAAATGCTCATTAATCTCAGGTAAATTACAGAAGATTCCCCTAAGATCCACGTGAATTAAAAAAAAAAAAAAATTCAAAGGTGACAATTTGACCTCCTCAGCTTTAATTTCTACAAAATTAACTTAAAGGCAAAAAACTATGATCATATAATATTACAATTGTATACACTAGTAATTAACATATATATGATTATTGTATTTAAGTCAATGAGAACATCCAAAGAAGTGGTGATTATTTCACAAGAAACTGAAAAATAGGAAGGCGAAGGGGGTAAAGTGTCAATTTTAAAACCTCAGCCGATATTCCGCCATTCCTACAAACTGTACGTTTTTAAAAAAAAATATTTATTTGGTGAGGTACCCTTAATCGACTAACTAATTAATTAGTTCTATATGATCTAAAGTATCACCTGTGGGAATCTAGACAGCTTCAGCAGCTCAGAAAAAGTCTTATTTTCCTCCTCATTTCTGTGTGCGAAAAGTATATCAGAATTCGATGAGATAGTTAAAACCAATAATCTTTAAAAATATGTGCACATTGTGAAAATGAACTCACGTGGGTGGTTTACAGAAAGCCATGTGATCAAGCAAAACAACAGTTGACGGGAATTCAGAGCATAGCTCCTCAATCTCTGAAATGTGTAAACTAAGGCCCTGCAAAGAACATTCAATGCATGATAACTGAATCTTTCTTCAAGGTTATGAGTCAGAAGTAACTCAGTCATACAAGCCAGATATAATGTAGTTAAGATGTGAGTGAGCAACAGATTAGATGCTCGATAATTTTCTAAGTTCACCACCAAATATCTACCTAAACAGTTAAGCATGTAACTCTATAATGTGCACTCATATGATTACCTCAAAGCGGCTTTTGTCCTAAATTTTAGGAAAGACATTCTTATTTATCAATGTTCTTGTCCTTAGAATAAACATGCAACTTCATGAACACCAACACCACTGTAATGAAAAGTTGTATAACAAACGGAATACCTTCATACACATAAATCCCACTGGCACTTTGAGTGCTCCTGCTTTACTGAACATTGCTTTCCCAATTTTGTTTGTCATCTACATAGAAAGCAGATTTTTAGGAGTTGATTGTCATAATAAAGCAAAACACAGGAGACATTTTTCATGTATATGAAACATTTTGGAGTACCTTTTGACCAGAAGGCCACAAGTATGGGTTAAACCGAACAGCTCGATAGCCATCCTGTCAGAGAAAAAACAGGAATTTCAGTAAAATGTGCTGATTGTAGTTATTATAACATGAATAGGTGCAATTAATCACCTTGAGGACAAGATCTTCAAGCTGCTTAATTCCACTTCCATCTTCTGAAGGATTTGCAAGGCAACAACCAATGAATTTGGATGGATACCTTTTCAAAACACTGCGATATATAAAAGGAATATAGTGAGATAGATGCAGATATGCAGACAAATAAGAGAAGAAGGGAAAATATAAACTGCAGCGTTAACTAAGCAATATCAAGCCTGGGGCTTGCCATATACAAAATTAAACATTAAAGAGTGATCAGAGTCTTTGTGAAAGTAAGGAACAGACCTCGTGACCAAAGAATGATCATACATATGATTAATGGGTTGCACTATCAGAGCTCCATCAACTCCCGCTTCCTCCATACACTGAAACATTGAGGGGACAAAAAAGAGTCAGAAAGTATAAACTTGTAACGTGTATCAGGTGAAACTGAGTAAGTTTATGCTTTGGGTTTTTTCTTTAGGTAAAGGGGACAGAATTGAACAAAATATTACCAATTGGAAACATGAGCAGTCTAGAGAAAGTTAGGTCTCATAGCAGGCAGAGCGAGATTGATGTTTTGCTTTCTACATTGTATGGTGTGCATTGCTTGTTCCTCGGCAATAGTTACATAATAGTTGTGAACTAAGTTACCTCAAGTAATGGTCTTTTGGAGTGTTTGTTGTTACAGCTTTTGTTTTATGTATGTGGGGAAGAGGGTGATATGTAAGATTCATTTTGATCACATCCTTGGAGTTGGGGATACTGGCTGTATATGTACAACCTATGTTGCATAGATACAGGTACGGGAGCAGATACGAACATGGGTACATAAAACGGAAATTTTGTTAGATGTAGGATAGGGGTACACAACAAATTTATAAGAATGTTATAGGAACTTTAATTCTCATAACATGTGAATGAAAAGATAAAACTGAGCTTATGTAATTTATTAATTTCCACATATATAGAATTGTAGCTTATGAATTAGAAAAGCGCTTAATTTTTAACAAGATACCCAAACAACCCCTTAAAATCATTCTTTGAACAGGATATTGACTCAAACAAACCTGCTCATGTGCAAAGAGTTTTAGAAAGTGGGATGTGAAATGTGGGATATATGTGAAGTGTATGATGAGTATTTTAAATTAAATCACATATTACATAATTGAATACACACCTGAATAAGTGCATGGATATATCCAAGGAGCGTCCAAGTGTCGCAGTGAGTATGGATACGGGTACGTGTCGAGTATGAGTACAACATGAGGTAGAAATACCCACGTAACATTGTACAACCAATCTTTTTTTTAATACAATGTGACCTCATTCTTTCTTCTTAAAAACTTCAATTCGTGATTACCTTCTTTATTAAATAACTAACCTAAATGCTTTTTTTGTTTTGTTTATAAGGATGGGGTTCAAATCAAACCCCAGCCATCACAAAACTTCATTATAGCTCATGGTTGGTTTACACGTGGTATAGTACACATCCCCAACACCAAATAGGTGCATACACCACCAAAATGAGTTAATAAAGAGGGATACATGATTTTGCTTCTCCATTTTATGTTTTTTTTTTTTTTTTTTGCTGTTAGATATCTTTTGTGAAGTGAAAGCAACCTTTCTTGATTTTTATGTTTTTGAAGATTTAACTTCTTTAATTGGGGGTTTTAGCAGTTGAGTTTCTGTAGCTTGCAAAATTGTTAATAATTGAAAGTAATACAATGAAAGAAGCATAATGTTATTAGGGTTTAGGGGAAATGTCATACTTCTTTTGTTTTTGTTTTGGACTAATGTTTTGTGGATGAGAAAAATAATAACCTTTGATAATACTTTTTGCTTTTTCATAGGTGGGTGATTCTATACCCTAATTCACAAATAAAAAATAAAAAAAAATAAAAAAATGAATAAATAATAAAAAATAAAAATAAATATAAATATATACTAATAATATTATCTGATGCATTGAATTCCCTTATATAACATGTTGCTCACAAGTATGACATAAAATTACAATACAATTTTTAAACAAATTATGTTCATCTATTGCTAATGAAAATACATAGCAACACTAATCATTCTTAGAAACCTATTAAAAACATGCCTTAAAATATTTCTTCCTAAATAAATTGATATCCATAATTACAAAAATGGATATGAGATTCCTGAGATGGAAGTACAGGTCTTCAAAACATATTTAAAAACTGATATCACTCAATTTTAGCTAGGAACAATTTTTGGCTTGATAAAGTAAAAATATACAACAAAATTAACAACACAAGACCAATCCTAATCAGATGCGCAAAACAAAACACTAGGCCGTGCTTAGCATAAGATTAACATTAGTGTTCTTTAATAAGAAAGATAACTGGAGATACTAATATCCATCAACTATGGACTTTCCTTTGGTAACTTGTGAACTCTAGACATGTGCTTTGAGATATTTTTAACCATGTAAAATTTTTATGAGCAGTAGAGTATAGTATTGATGATAATGAACTGACGAGATGTGTTGTTTAATGTTGACACTAAAGAAGGTTAAATGAAATTAGACACGTGAGAAAAAGTGTTATAACTTATAAATTGTAAGATTAGCATATTAGAGATGAGGTTTATGGAAGAAAATATTAAAATTATTCTGGTGGATACAATATTAGTCAAACTATGATGTGCAAGTAGTTGGAGGGAAATAGAGGAATTTCCCTCCAAAAAATATAACAATATGTTACACACCCTTCCAAGCTTATGTTTAATGGAAATGGGCTACGAAAGAAAACAGATTGAAAACTTGAGAGCTAATTTGCTTAAAACGAAAACATAGGGGCCACTTGGGAGAAAGGTCAATAAGTTAGGGACCAACTAGACTTAGTTCTCTTCAATATGTATACATATGTAGCCGTGTCTCCATATCATACCTTTTACAAATTTATTGTGTCCTATATCTATTAGGACTCATATTTATGAGCCTATTTTCTAATCTAGTTTCCATGATTAACAAACAATTTATAATCTTGTTTTCTAGTATTTGTGTTTCATCAAATATGTATCAGGTTGGTTTGATTTGAGCATAACGATGATATTCTTGAGTTTGAAGAATATTGGAGTGAAGCCGTCGCAATTCAAGTCAAGATATTATAACGCTTCATCTTATCAAGATCAAGCTCAACGAAGAATTTTAGCTTTGGTATAGTAGTTTAGTTGTGTATTCTATGTGTTTATACCTATAGGCTATAGCTCAAATTCATGCACGAACACGCTTTTGAGAAAATATTATGTTTTTGGATTATTGACTTAACGCAAATAATTCACATCTTTTCTAAAGTCCATTAATCCATTTAAAAGTATTTCAAAACTTGTTTGAAGAAATTTCATCAAAATCAAGTGTTTAACAAACACGTACTTTGATCGTTTTGCAAAACAGTGAGTTTTCACAAATGAGAAATGAGATTTTAAAAATTTATTCTCTAACATGTTCATTTTCATGTGTATAAATATATTCCCAAGTTTTACTAATTTTGGAGTTGATTTATTATTTTAAATCGTTTTTAGAAAATCAAAGTTTTCAGTAAAAAACAAGTTTCTGTATATCCGCTTATCAGTCGACCGATCGGCTCCTATCAGTCGACCGACCAGTAAGATTTTCCAACATCGGATTCTACAGACGAATTAGTCGATCGACCATGACTCATCGATTGACTGATCACCTCTTGTCAGTCGACCGATATATTCCCTTCAGTGGACCGATAGTTCATTGTCTTTCCAGCTCAGCCAACGACTAGTTCATCAGTTGACCGATGAACTTAACCAGTCGACTAATGCTATCTTTTTGTTGTAACGGCTAGTTTTGATAGATTTTCTTTAAGAGGTTATAAATACCCCTTAATGCTTATTTTTTGAGCTAAGTTTTAAGGGTTTCATCAGTTTGTTTAAGCTATTTTTGGCTCCACGTTTTTAAAGAGATTAAGTATTTGTTTGTTTGTTTGCAAAAAGAGTTTACAAGAGGAGGAGATCGATTTTGGTTTTGAGCATTCATCTTCAAATTTCTATCTCTTGTTTGGAGAAGTTTCTTAAACTCAATTTCTAGATAATCTACATTTTGATCATCATATATATAAGCTAGATTTATTTGAGTTTGTTTTTATTATACTCATTATTTGCACACACACCCATTTGAGCATTAGTATTTCACATTAAGTATATTTGGGTTGTGGGAGTAATTCATTGAGTGAGCTTAAAACTCGTTCTCATCTTGTTTAGAGAATAAATATTTATTTGCACTAATTGTGAAAACACGTTGTAATACACAATGATACTTAGAGGAGTGGTTGGGAGAGACCGGGATCAATTCCAAGAGAAGTGACTTGGTTGTAAAAACCTAGGGAGAGGTAGTAATTCCAAGCACTTGAGGAAGGTGACACGAGTAGGTCAATACTTAAAGGAGTGTCTTGTGGGATTGACAATCGTATATATTGTAAAAGTTTTCGGTGAGCTTTAAAAACCGATTGTGTAGTGAATTTGTGATTAGTGAAGAATCTCCTCGAGGTGAGGAACGCAGACGTAGATCGAGAGTTGACCAAACTCCGTGATCATATTGTTTGTTTGTGTTTGGTATTGACGCACTCATTCTTGTGTATATTTTCATATTGCATTTTGTCTTATAGTTTATATCGCCTATTGTTTATTATATATTCTTGCATATATCACTTGTGTATATCATATTGTTAGGATATTATATTAAAAGTTTTAATTTAGCATTGTAATCGGAGTAGATTTGCAATTAGCCTATTCATCCCCTCTAGGGTACTTTCAATTGGTATTAAAGTTTGATGCTCTTTGATTTTTGGCTTAATCACCTAGAGTCAAAGACCCTCGTTTTGCAAATTGCTAATCTAGTCTTGTGATTATCTTGCTTGCGTTTATATCATGGATATGCACGGTGCACCTAGTTTAGGTTATGATATTAATATTACTCCAAAATAAATTATTTCTCTTATTATCAATGGTGTGTTAGATTTAAACTATTTGTTAGATCTAAACATATTAATTTATAAAAAATAATTGATTATGCTTATGTGGTGCTCACTTTGGAGAAATTCAAGTGGAGCAATAATGATAAAAGAATGTTTACAATGAGCAAGTTATGGTTAGAATTTTTACTCAAAGCTTTTGATTCATCCATTTCTAACAAACTTGCTTCTTTTGATAGTGCTTATAAATTGTGAAAATTTATAGAAATACATCAAGAAAACTTGGAGGAGATTCAATGTGTTTTGGCGGATTCCACTCCAAGTGAGATTGGAGCGTCATCATGCACACGACCACTAGGCGATAACCCTAGTGAGGTATGTGAGTCCAAATCTGAAAGTGGACTTTCTATTAATAAACTCGTTTGTGCTTATAAAAGATTAATGCATGCCTATAACAAATTGCATCATAATTTTGTGACTTTAAAAAACAAGCATGTAGAGTTAAAAACCGATCATGATTAGCATCCAAATTTGATACCATTGCTAAAGAAAACGTGACACTTGAAGAAAGTAATGATAAACTAAATTTGAAAAATGTAAATTTGACCTAAAAATAGCTAGCTTATCTCATGAGAAAAATGATGATATATTAGAAGTAGTAGCCATTTGAAATGAATTTAATTCTTTTAAAAATGATCATATTTGTTCTACTTCTATTGACAATACTATAGTGCAAAATAATGAGTTGAATAATATGAAAAACCGTATGACATCTTTAGATTCAACCCTGCATATATGTATTGTTAACAATAAGAAACTTATGGATTTGTGTGCAAAGTCACGTGCTAATACTTCCAAAACACCCACACACTATGCACACATGAATAGTAAAATTTATAAATGCTCTATTTACGGTCGTAAAAGTCACATTGCTAAATTTTACTATGATGCACAAAAATTCAAAAATGTTAATATTAATGCTCCTTGTACATCTCATAAAGTTTTTTCATCACACACACATATGCACTCATTGCTCATCATAAGTATGATAGTGTATTTAAATGTTATTATTGTGGTAGATTTGATCATTTAGCCAAATTTTATTTTGATTTAAAAAGAATTTCACATTTGCAAGATAATTTAAAAAGACCATCATTGTTTGCAAATGTTCCTCGTGCACAATCTCATGGTCAACAAAAATAAATGAATTCATTTCATTGCACTTATTGTAATAGAATGGGTCATTTACATAATTATTGATATGCTCGGACACATACATTACATGCGCCCAAATGAGGTCATAACCTAAGAGCTTTGGATTTCATTGATAGGTGTCATGTCCTTAAACTCTTCGGTACCAAGATTGTTTGGGTGTCAAAACAAGTTTGATTTTTAAAGAACAAAACTTTTAGCCTTTTTTTTGCTTTTTCATGTTCTTTAGAAGATGATTTTTGTTTGGATTTTGTTTGTAAATGAATTTTTGGATAATTTTTTTTATGAAAGAAAATATTTTCATCTTGTTTAGAAGAGAATTTGATAGCTATATTCAAATTTTTAAAAATATAATTTTAAGCTTTTCAATCATTGGTTTAAGTTCAAAAAATGCACATGGCATTCTGGCCTTCATCAGTCGACTGATCACTCAAATCGGTCGACCGATGACTGGCAATCAGACGACCGATTTGAAAAATCAGTCGACTTTCCAATGCAATATTTTCTGGTTTCCTGAGTCTCTGTTATTGGATGTTTGTCTTCATACCCGACCCGATTAATACCCGTTTACACATTCTTTTATCTCATCCATTGGATTCTTGTTTGGAACAAATCCTGGCCTTTGATTGATCTATATATATGATTGTTTAAACCAAGTTGTTTGTCGTCATAAGAAAGGAGGGGATTGTTAGGACTCATGTTTATAAGCCTACTTTCTAACCTAGTTTTGATGATTAATAAATAATTTATAATCTTGTTTTTTAATATTTGTGTTTCATCAAATATGTATCAGGTTGGTTGGATTTGAGTATAACGATGATATTCTTGAGTTTGAAGAATATTGAAGTGAAGCCGTCGTAATTCAAGTCAAGATATTATAACGCTTCATCTTATTAAGATCAAGCTCAACGAAATTTTTTAGCTTTGGTATAGTAGTTTAGTTGTGTACTCTATGTGTTTATACCTATAGCTCAAATTCATGCACGAACACGCTTTTGAGAAAATATTATGTTTTTCGATTATTGACTAAACACAAATAATTCACATATTTTCTAAAGTCTATTAATCCCTTTAAAAGTATTTTAAAACTTGTTTGAAGAAATTTCATCAAAATCAAGTGTTTAACAAACACGTATTTTGACCGTTTTGCAAAACAGTGAGTTTTCACAAATGAGAAATGATATTTTAAAAATTTCTTCTCTAACATGTTCATTTTTATATGTATAAAGATTTTCCCCAAATTTTACTAATTTTGGAGTTGATTTATTATTTTAAATTGATTTTAGAAAATCAAGTTTTCAGCAAAAAACAAGTTTCTATATATCCGCTTATCAGTCGACCGACCAGTAGGATTTTCCAACGTCGAATTCTACAGACGAATCAGTTGACCGACCATGACTCATCGGTCGACCGATCACCTCCTATCAGTCGACCGATAGTTCATTGTCATTCCAGCTCAGCCAACGGCTAGTTTATCAGTCGACCGATGAACTTAACTAGTTGACTGATGCTGTCTTTTTGCTGTAATGGCTAGTTTTGACAGATTTTCTTTAAGAGGATATAAATACCCCTCAATGGTTATTTTTTGAGCTAAGTTTTTTAAGGGTTTCATCAGTTTGTTTAAGCCATTTTTGGCTCCACGTTTTTAAAGAGATTAAGTGTTTGTTTGTTTGCAAAAAGAGTTTACAAGAGGAGGAGATCGATATCGGTTTTGAGCATTCATCTTCAAATCTCTATCTCTCTTGTTTGGAGAAGTTTCCTAAACTCAATTTCTAGCTAATCTACATTTTGATCATCATATATATAAGCTAGATTTATTTGAGTTTGTTTTTATTATACTTATTGTTTGCACACACCCACTTGAGCTTTCGTATTTCACATTAAGTATATTTGGGTTGTGGGAGTAATTCATTGAGTGAGCTTAAAATTCGTTCTCATCTTGTTTAGAGAACAAATCTTTATTGACACTTGTGAAAACACGTTGTAATATACAATGACACTTAGAAAAGTGGTTGGGAGAGACCTGGGTCAATTCCAAGAGAAGTGACTTGGTTGTAAAAGTCTAGAGAGAGGTAGTAACTCCAAATACTTGAGAAAGATGACACATGTAGGCTAACACTTAGAGGTGTGTCTTGTGGGATTGACAATCGTGTATATCGTAAAAGTTTTCGGTGAGCTTTGAAAACCGATTGTGTAGTGAATTTGTGATTAGTGGAGAATCTCCTCGAGGTGAGGAGCGGAGACATAGGTCGAGGGTTGACCGAACTCCGTGATTATATTGCTTATTTGTGTTTGGCATTGGCGCACTCATTCTTGTGTATATTTTCATATCGTTTTTTGTCTTATAGTTTATATCGCCTAGTGTTTATTATATATCCTTGCATATATCACTTGTGTATATCATATTGTTAGGATATTGCATTAAAAGTTTTAATTTGGTGTCGTAATCGAAGTAGATTAGCAATTACCCTATTCAACGCCCCCTCTAGGGTACTTTCAATATTTGCACCACTCACACCCGTATCCACACCCGTACCCGGTATCATAGACTGTGAAGGAGCTAACTCTCCTATCACTCTCTAGTCAAGTCTTACCAGGTTCTAATTTGAGGTTCTTTTTTTTAAGGTCATTAAGTTAAGATCTTGTTTAGGTCCTTATTATCTTTGCTTCTAGGAATCTACAGGCCATGTGGGCCAGTTAAATAAGATAAAATCCTGCATTACAATCCTAATGAATTGGACCTTAATCCCATAGTTGTTATTCCTCAAAAAGAAATTCCCTTACCACAACTACGAGTCACTACTACGCTCTTAATGGTGTGCCCCATGTCCAAATATCCTAAATATACACAAGAAAAAGTTACGTTAGGTAATAGAGCTATGTTAAGTAAATGGAACTTTGATAGGTTAGAGAAAGAAGCAGTACATAGAGACATATAGTTTGATTATGGTAGATAGACCCCTTGAACAAAATTTTGTGACTCTTTTACCATGGTGATTTGTTTTAGATGTTAACCCTGGGTGTAGTTAGTTAGTCGATCAGGTAAAAGAGTCAAGAAAATTAATTCCTGAGGGTATATCCACCAAAATCAAATTACCGGAGTAATAAGTTTCAAATTGCAATATTAAGTGGGGTGTTATGCAATTAACCCCAGAAAGAATTCAGGAGCAAATTAATTCAAGGGGAAAAGCAGATAATCATTTGGAGGTGTGATACAGATGTAACGCATCGTGGTTTTCGTTTAGAATTTTCATCATACTCTTACTTTTCAATTGACTTGCACCTCAAACTTTTAGACCTTCCCTTTACTGCAGCAGAATCTTCAGCGGTTCTTTGTTCAGGACAAATAATGAATGGCAACCCCACACATTTCATTAACAAAGACTAGAACTACCTCTGATGTATTATTACTATTGCCTAATTCCCTGAAAAATACAGGTTGGATTAACATATGCCACTTAAATGAAAAGAAATAGTCAATTTAAGTAGCTAACTCTCTCCATATCTAAACCCAATTATAATAGGAAAATAATAAGGCAAAAACACCTACAAGGATTATCCTCATTGTGCCCATTTCAACACTACATGTCTAGTTCTAATTTGAGACCTCACATTTAGAGAGAGTAAAAGGGCACTAAAACATATCTATAATGAAAAAAAATTGCACTGGAGAGCACTAACAATGTATGCATAAATAATTTATTGAAATTAAAGAGTTGAAATTGAAGTACTTTGAGCAAGAGCTCGATATCGCCGGGGATCGACGGCTTCTGACCAGGAAAATATGGGTATTTTTCTGCAGCCTGCAACATACAAAATCAAATCAAAATGGGCAAAAATTTTTTTTTTGACAAAATAAGAAATTTCTCAATGTGGGTTTTCAAAGTAGTGACCTCTTGTGGAGAAGCCCAAACATGGAGGTGAGAATCAATGGTCTTAGATTCGGAAGGCATTTTTCTGGGTTCTCCAAGAGACGCAATTGCTTTGAATGAAGAAGAGAATGCCTTGGGAATTGGGTGGGTTTTAAGGAGAGAGAAGAGGGAGGAGGCATTGGATGTCAATGCCATCAAAGGGACCAACAAAATAGTATTTGAGGATATATTTTTGTTGACCTTCCATTTTTTAGGCGTTGATAATATTGTGCTTGGTATGAGGGCACACCTCACTCTATTTTTACTTGTGTGTATATATATACTAGTTTTTATGCGAGTGCATTGCGATTAAATATCATAATTACTTATTTTTAGTTTATTTCCTTCCTAAAATTTATTCTTCGATTTTAATTTGATTGTTTTTGCTCACTTATGTCTCTAAAATTTAATATTGTGATTAATTATCTTCTTTAATGTTTGTTTGAATAGGCTACACCCAATTTTAAGTTTCATGTTGATAATTGAATTGACATGAAATCAACATGAAGCCAATTTGAATATTCATGTTATTTGGATTAACATGAAATGAATCTTTACCTAAGGAAGTATAGTGTTGCAAAAGTAAAAAATACTTCAAAAAATAGTATTATAATAGCAAGAGGAATAATTAAAGCCAATAAGCCTAGACAATTGATTAGAAGTGGCTAAAATAGCACAAAGGAAAATATGGATTTTATTCCTAATCATTAATAGACTTTATTAAAAATCATAAACTAAATATTAATGCTAACTCTAGTATAATTTAATATTATAAAAGCATCCACAAAATAAGTATATAAAAATATATAAAATTCATGAATATCTCTTCCAAATATTCCTAATTTTACTCAAAAAATTAGGCTATTCTATAAAATATTAAGATTCATGAATATCTCTTCCAAATATTCCTAATTTTACTCAAAAAATTAGGCTATTCTATAAAATATTAAGAAAATATTATCTTTTATTCAAATATTCCTAATTTTACTCAAAAAATTAGGCTATTCTATAAAATATTAAGAAAATATTATCTTTTATTCCTTCTGTTTCGTTCTTTATTGAATCAAGATCAAACCTTCTTCACTTTTATCTTTTTCTAAGGTAATTCCAGAGTGGTGTCTTCATCATCTACATTGATTGTAATATCATGCTGGATCTGGACTTCTTGTGCTATTATCTTTCCTTAGGCTTATTCATTTTTTTATCTTTCCATCTAACTTTACAAGTAATTTGAATGAGAACAAATAGTAATTATATATATGATAATTTTTTTGTGTTTCTAATTTATTATTTAAGTTAGGATCATCTTTAATATCTTTATTGATCGTGTGTTTGTTGGCTTTGTTGCATATAGTGAAGCCATCTTAATAGTCTTTACTTTTTTTCTCAATGAAAGCAAGTTCCAAACATCTTATGGATTGAATTTATCTCTCACGTTATGTTAGCCTGTATCTACAAGTTCATCCTTGCATTCTCGCTTTTTGGGTAGCCTCCATCACATTTAAACTCTTTATTAATCGTGTTGCATTATATATTATAAAAACATCGTTGATCTTTATTGGTTATTTGAACCATACTAAAATAATTACTTGATATATTCTCATAAAAGTAATTAAAATAATGGTTAAAAATTAAGGCCTAATTAAAAACCAAACCCTTAATTTTACTAAACATAAATTCAACTCATTGTTAAGTAGGTAATTTGGGCGGTTTAGTCCTAGCCCGAAACACGTTGGGCTGGGCTTCCAAGTAAGATTTGGGCAGCTCCGAAACCCAAAATCAAAGAGCCAAGATTGGCCTGGAAAAAGCCTAGGCGCGACAGGTCGAGCTTCTAGTCTAGGTTTGGGCAGATCCCAATAAAGCCTCGCTTAATGAACCTGGACCGTGGCCATGTCTAACTTAAAGTAGTATAAGATAGAATTTAATAAGCATACATTGTATTGTATTTGTAATTTTTAAATAGGTTTGGGAAACATATACTAGGAATCCCCTCAAAATCCTTTCTCTTTGCTCGCGATTTTTGACAACCCAAAAATTTGACATGATAGACACTGTATAACTACTCACATCCGCGTAAACAAACAAAGAATATGCTCTACAGATTTTTGATTTGATAGGATTTTGTTGTGGGTTCACTTTTAGGTAAAATCCATTAGAATCCTTGTAGAATCAAAGTAAACAAACAGCCCCTTAGGAAATAAACTATTTTACTTATTAGAAAATTCTGTAATCAAAACTAATGTGATTACAGTTTGTAGTTGTTTTAAGGGTAAATTTATAAAAAAAACCCATAAGTTTGGGCATTTCTCTAATAACCCTCATCAACTTTAAAATTTCACAAAAGCCTCCTTCAGTTTTGGGATTCTAAGTAAACTCACTTCAAGTTTCAACGTTTAAAAAAAATCTTAAAAATATGAACCACAATTTGTCCTAAAAAATAACCCTCATCTATAAAATATCTAACTATAGAACCAAATATTTTACTCAAAGAGAAAGGCTATTGTGAATATGTTAAAAAAAATTTTGGTTAATTAACATAAATACGTAGGAGTTTTTTTTAACAAAATTTAGCTAGTGAGAGTCAATGGATGCCTTTTAGTGTTGAGATTGTTTGTTAAAAATTTTAAAAGATTCCAACATTATTATATTTATGTTTCAATGAGAATTAAAGTTAATCTCACAAATTTTTTTTTTCAAATTTATTAAATGATGTTAGAAACATCTGATGTGAATAATTGTTTTTAAATTCTCATGTTTTTCTATAAATCTTCGATTTTGAGGGTTTTTAATTATTTTTTAAAACTTTAGGTTGCTTTATGCAAGTTACAAACTTATTTATAGGCTAGTGTATTATTATTGAGGGTTTTAAATTCTCATGTTTTTTGTGAATTTTTAATATTTAAAGTGTTGTTTACAATTTTTAAAAATTTTAGGATGCTTTATGCAAATTACAAACTACTTATGAGTCTTTTCTGATCAAATTGATTTATACTGCTAATTAAAGCATTCAGTTCCTAGCATAATTCTCATTGCAGAGGCTACATTAGACTTTTTAGGAGCCAACACTTGTTTGCTTATACTTTATGAGGTGTGTAGTTTTAAGCTTAACAATTCCGTAAAGAATTTCCTACTGTCATTTTGACACATTAATTGAGTTAAGAAGTGGATGCAAGTAGTAAATATGAAAAGCATTGATGAAGGAAAAGAAGAAAAGAAATTTTGTCCTTGTTCATAAGTATTGATGTCCTTGTATTTATTACTTTAAAACCATAGAATGTTGGATTGATTGAAATTGTTAAACAAAACAAATCGTCATAGCAAATAAATTATTAAAGTCATAATCTTGATTCGAATAGAGGGTGCACAAATAGCAATCAATCACTAATAAAAGAAAAAGAAAAATTTATTAATCTTTGAAGAACCTTTCTATTTACAGTGGAGAATAATTATAAGCAATGAAGATGACAACAACAACAAGAAAAAGAAAATAGAAATTTTATAAAAAATTTAAAAAGAAAAATAATGTAAGACAATAAAAAGACATACTTGTTGAAGAAGACTAAAGTACTATAGAAATTGTATAGTTCTTGATTTATACATATATGTAAGCATGAGATGTTACATGCATGTGAGAGGATAATAATTATAAATAGTTCTTAATTTATACATATATGTAAGCATGTGATGTTACATGTGAGAGGATAATAATTATAAATAGAGTTCTATTTAGATAAAAATTATGTAATTTTCTTGATGTTTGAAATATTGTTTCTTTTAATAATTCATTTGAAACTATTTAGATAAAAATTATGTAATTTTCTTGATGTTTGAAATATTGTTTCTTTTAATAATTCATTTGAAAATCAAAACCTATGTGTGAAAAAATTTTCTTGATGTTTGAAATATTGTTTCTTTTAATAATTCATTTGAAAATCAAAACCTATGTGTGAAAATTTCATAATACCTGTGCATGATTAATAAAACCACCGTACGCAAACTACTCTTACCAATTTCAAAGTTGGTCATTTGAAATTAATAATATTTGATGATAGGATAATTAAGATTATTTAATTTGTTGATGTGAGCAATTATATACATACATGTTGAAGAAGACATTAACAAAAGAGAATAATCAAATACACAATATTACTAAAGAATAATCATAAAGATAAAAAGGAGCATACATGTTGAAAGAGACGAAGTTACTATGAAAATTATGTAATTTCTTGGTTTATATATTGGCATGAGATGTTGCATGTGATAGGTTAACAATTACAATTAGAGTTCTCTTTGTGTAAAGAATGCAAATTGTATAATATTTTATTATAATAACTATTAAAATAATTCTTATCAACAATTTCATATGCGAAAGCCTATGCCTCATACGAATTAGGATTAGGGTATTTAGTTCAAACTGAATAATTATGATAGCCTTTTAGTAGTTCATTTAAACTTTATTCATTTAAACTTGAAGTTTTTGTCTTAGTTCAAACTTTAAAGAAAGAGAGGAGGCGTAATTAGGATAGATATTTAATTCAATTGTTAAAGAAAGAGAGGAGGCAGAATGTGTACGAATTAGGATTAGGATATTTAGTTCAATCTGAATAATTAGAATAGACTTTTAGTAGTTTATTTAAATTTTATTAAAAGTATCAGTAAAGTAAGTAGTCCTTAGTCGTATTGAAGATTATCTCGCTTCTACAAATTAAATATCATTATCAAGTAAAAAATTAGGTATCAAAGCTGTGTCAACTGTGAGTCACGATTCAAGTGTACGAGCGATTTATTTTCTTTTTACATAATTAAATACAATTTAAAAATTATAATTTGATTAGGATTAGGATAGTTCAAACTTTAAAGTTATTTGATTAGGATTAGAATAAATCATTACATACAATTTAAAAATTAGAATTTGATTAGTATTAGGATAGTTCAAACTTTATAAGGGTATTTTTGTCTACCGAAAGATTTTTCCAAACTCTTGCTTTTAAAGAGAGTATGATATTTAAAATTTATTTAAAGTGTCAGTAAGGTAAGTATTCCTTAGTCATATTGAAGATTATCTCGAATCTACAAATTAAATATCATTATCAAGTAAAAAATTAGATATCAAAGTTGTGTCAACTGTGAGCTACGATTCAAGTGTGCAAGCTATTTATTTTTTTATAATTAAATACAATTTAAAAATTAGAATTTGATTAGGAATATAATAGT